AGAGAGACAAGACAGGTAATGGGTATTTTCATCAAGAATGTCCACAAGGAATTTCTCTGCCTGCAGCTCATTTTCTTCCGCCGTGAGAGCTTAATATAAGCAGTTTTCTCACCCTTCTTCAGCATCTTCACGATTTCCAAGCCAGACGAGATACACTCGCCATCTGTTCCTTTCGCAAGGAAGAGCTGCAGGTTACGCGCACCAACGTTCTTCAAGGCGTTCGCCTTCTTTGCCTTGCTTGCGTCTTTTAGGTCTCCCCACACTCTCAGTCGTATCAATGTCCACAGGAAACGCACTTTCCTTCATACCAACGATGACGCAGAACAGCTTTACCATTATCTTATTGAGCCAGACAATTCTCGAATGAAGAGACACGAATTTTCTGTTTGCAAACGAATAAGATTGATTTTATATGACAATACTTTGGCCAAGATGTAAAGCCATTGTTCCTTTCTGATAGGCTGACTAAATTCAATTGATAACTTTTTCTTGCGAAAATATTCCTAGGATGTCCTGTAAGTTCTCTTCGCTTCGGTATGCTTCGGCTGGATAATCAGATTAAGAGGACGTGAGCGAAAGAGAGACAAGACAGGTAATGGGTATTTTCATCAAGAATGTCCACAAGGAATTTCTCTGCCTGCAGCTCATTTTCTTCCGCCGTGAGAGCTTAATATAAGCAGTTTTCTCACCCTTCTTCAGCATCTTCACGATTTCCAAGCCAGACGAGATACACTCGCCATCTGTTCCTTTCGCAAGGAAGAGCTGCAGGTTACGCGCACCAACGTTCTTCAAGGCGTTCGCCTTCTTTGCCTTGCTTGCGTCTTTTAGGTCTCCCCACACTCTCAGTCGTATCAATGTCCACAGGAAACGCACTTTCCTTCATACCAACGATGACGCAGAACAGCTTTACCATTATCTTATTGAGCCAGACAATTCTCGAATGAAGAGACACGAATTTTCTGTTTGCAAACGAATAAGATTGATTTTATATGACAATACTTTGGCCAAGATGTAAAGCCATTGTTCCTTTCTGATAGGCTGACTAAATTCAATTGATAACTTTTTCTTGCGAAAATATTCCTAGGATGTCCTGTAAGTTCTCTTCGCTTCGGTATGCTTCGGCTGGATAATCAGATTAAGAGGACGTGAGCGAAAGAGAGACAAGACAGGTAATGGGTATTTTCATCAAGAATGTCCACAAGGAATTTCTCTGCCTGCAGCTCATTTTCTTCCGCCGTGAGAGCTTAATATAAGCAGTTTTCTCACCCTTCTTCAGCATCTTCACGATTTCCAAGCCAGACGAGATACACTCGCCATCTGTTCCTTTCGCAAGGAAGAGCTGCAGGTTACGCGCACCAACGTTCTTCAAGGCGTTCGCCTTCTTTGCCTTGCTTGCGTCTTTTAGGTCTCCCCACACTCTCAGTCGTATCAATGTCCACAGGAAACGCACTTTCCTTCATACCAACGATGACGCAGAACAGCTTTACCATTATCTTATTGAGCCAGACAATTCTCGAATGAAGAGACACAAATTTTCTGGTTGCAAACGAATAAGATTGATTTTATATGACAATACTTTGGCCAAGATGTAAAGCCATTGTTCCTTTCTGATAGGCTGACTAAATTCAATTGATAACTTTTTCTTGCGAAAATATTCCTAGGATGTCCTGTAAGTTCTCTTCGCTTCGGTATGCTTCGGCTGGATAATCAGATTAAGAGGACGTGAGCGAAAGAGAGACAAGACAGGTAATGGGTATTTTCATCAAGAATGTCCACAAGGAATTTCTCTGCCTGCAGCTCATTTTCTTCCGCCGTGAGAGCTTAATATAAGCAGTTTTCTCACCCTTCTTCAGCATCTTCACGATTTCCAATCCAGACGAGATACACTCGCCATCTGTTCCTTTCGCAAGGAAGAGCTGCAGGTTACGCGCACCAACGTTCTTCAAGGCGTTCGCCTTCTTTGCCTTGCTTGCGTCTTTTAGGTCTCCCCACACTCTCAGTCGTATCAATGTCCACAGGAAACGCACTTTCCTTCATACCAACGATGACGCAGAACAGCTTTACCATTATCTTATTGAGCCAGACAATTCTCGAATGAAGAGACACAAATTTTCTGGTTGCAAACGAATAAGATTGATTTTATATGACAATACTTTGGCCAAGATGTAAAGCCATTGTTCCTTTCTGATAGGCTGACTAAATTCAATTGATAACTTTTTCTTGCGAAAATATTCCTAGGATGTCCTGTAAGTTCTCTTCGCTTCGGTATGCTTCGGCTGGATAATCAGATTAAGAGGACGTGAGCGAAAGAGAGACAAGACAGGTAATGGGTATTTTCATCAAGAATGTCCACAAGGAATTTCTCTGCCTGCAGCTCATTTTCTTCCGCCGTGAGAGCTTAATATAAGCAGTTTTCTCACCCTTCTTCAGCATCTTCACGATTTCCAATCCAGACGAGATACACTCGCCATCTGTTCCTTTCGCAAGGAAGAGCTGCAGGTTACGCGCACCAACGTTCTTCAAGGCGTTCGCCTTCTTTGCCTTGCTTGCGTCTTTTAGGTCTCCCCACACTCTCAGTCGTATCAATGTCCACAGGAAACGCACTTCCCTTCATACCAACGATGACGCAGAACAGCTTTACCATTATCTTATTGAGCCAGACAATTCTCGAATGAAGAGACACAAATTTTCTGGTTGCAAACGAATAAGATTGATTTTATATGACAATACTTTGGCCAAGATGTAAAGCCATTGTTCCTTTCTGATAGGCTGACTAAATTCAATTGATAACTTTTTCTTGCGAAAATATTCCTAGGATGTCCTGTAAGCTCTCTTCGCTTCGGTATGCTTCGGCTGGATTAATCAGATTAAGAGGACGTGAGCGAAAGAGAGACAAGACAGGTAATGGGTTTCCCCCAGGAGCTAACACATATATTCCAGGATCCATTTACACTGCGCTATTAACTTCCTCTTTGCATCTAGCACCATTACTAGCGAACATTACATTATAATTTAGCGTACTAATCCAATAGAAGGTTGAGCCCATTGACATAATTAGACGAGTCTGCTAGCAGCCTCATTCGGGCTTGCTCAGAAGTGAAGTCGTAGAGTGTTTGAACCGCCAAATTGACAACATCAGCCCGAATAATAAGCGTGCGGACTCTTTGAGTGTTGCAACTCTCGACGCTAGGTCTGTACCGGGGACATCTCTTACGTGACAACGATTAAGACTGAAGACATAAGACAGCTTCAGGTCTCACATAAAAATAAATTCGCACTTATGTCCTCAAAGTAGGTGCAAGTTCGGCATCGTTTAATCCCAACATCAACGATGAGCTTACCGCGTCGCTGCTATGAAGAAGGTCTTACATTGTGTAACGGGGTTTTACGACGGTTGTAACGTCATTCTGAAAGTTTACGGTTGAAGTTTTCTTCCATTGCATATAATGAATTATTATACTTCTCTTTAGAGGTAATAAGTATGAGCGTTAAGATACGGTATCCGGTAATACCGTATCTTATCGATTGGGATTCGATAAAATCACTAACGCTGTATTAAGTACATCATACACAGATGTTTAGACGATACGTCGTCCAATAGCAAAGTCTGCATATAATAATTACTATTATAGTAATTAATCTAGTGTAGTGTACTTAGAGTAGGACTATTCATAAAATCTTAAAGCATACATAAAATCAGTTCTCCTTTTGAGTTTAAGATCGCAAGTCGTTCTGACTTGTTCTCTTGTGCACTTTGTGCGTTGGTTCTCTGAACCTCTAAGCTCTAGCTTGTTCTTGCACTCTGTGCGTTGGTTCTCTGAACCTTAAGCTTATTGCTTGCTGACTAAAACTCTCTCCTACTTCCTTAGAACAGGGTGACCTCTAAGTCATTAAATTAGTTCCTTAGAACGTAGTGGCTTTTAGCCTTAACTCTATTTAGTTCTTTAACTAAGAGGCTTTCAGTCTAAAAGGCTTCCTCTGGCTAAAAAAAAAATTTTTTAAAATCTGAAATTAATTAAATTCAAGAGCTGTGCAGCTCCGCTACACTAAAGGCCTTCGCCGGTATCGGAGTGATAAAATGGCACAGTCAATTTGCAAAAGTGCGTGCTGTGAGCTCATGCGACTGACTGCCTACTCCATGTGAGTAGGCGTTAACAATTGATTATAGTGACGTTAGCGTACTCCTGTCGTTGAGGAAATCTAGCGCTGCAATGATGTGTTCGCAAAGAAGAGGAGAGTTGTCGGCGAGCTTCTAAAATCTTGCAGTTTGCTGCTTATTTCGCTAAAAGAGTAGCAAAACTGCTGAAGTAAGTAGCAAATATGAGTTGCTTGATTAAAGGGTACAGCAAGTAGTTTAGTCAAGCGATAAGAATAAGTACTCTATTTTTGGCAATGGCAACAAATGCTCTACTTTTATATACGCGTCTTTCTTGATTCATTTTTTGGTATCACTTGCTCTTTGTTAAACGTTTTTGCCACTAACTAAGTAACATTTGCAATTTACTGGCTCCTTATTTAAATGTCAACATTAAATATACAGCAGCAATTTCAGCGCGTATCCAGTAACAAAAGTTACTTAATAAGGTACCCATTATTTAATCAATAGTAAGCTATATTCGCACGAACATTACTAACTGAGAGGTAACCTTTCCTCTTATCCTGTTTCTGTTCCCCTGTCGCACGTGGCTACATTTATCGGAAAAGTCGGCAGAGTCTGACAGCTTCCAGAACTTTCGACAAACTTACAAATATTTGGTCAAAAGAACGCACCATAATTTTAACCAATGCACGTCCATCACGATCGCTGACGGAATTGTCTCGAACGTTTTGCCGTGGGTGGCCCACAATAGAGGGACAGATGTCATTACTCTCTTTAACCTTCCCCACCGTCTCACACCCGTTTTAAACGATCTTTCGTAGCTCGTCCACAGTAACAAGTCTCATTTCCAAATTTTCCTACAGAAGAAGAAGACAAACAACCCCAAACAAGAAACAACAAAATGGCTCAGACTGTCTCTGGATACTCGGTCGGCATTGATCTCGGTACGACGTACTCGTGCGTCGGTGTGTGGCAGAATGACCGCGTAGAGATTATTGCTAACGACCAAGGTAACCGTACGACGCCGTCCTACGTGGCATTCACGGACACGGAGCGTCTTATTGGTGATGCCGCTAAGAACCAAGTGGCTATGAACGCACACAACACGGTGTTCGACGCCAAGCGCCTCATTGGTCGCAAGTTTTCGGACCCGATCGTTCTAGCTGACACGAAGCACTGGCCTTTTAAAGTCACGTCTGGTGCCGGTGACAAGCCACAGATTACGGTGCAATTCAAGGGCGAGTCAAAGACGTTCCAGCCTGAGGAGATCTCGTCCATGGTCCTGATTAAGATGCGTGAGGTGGCGGAAGCTTTCATCGGCAAGGAGGTGAAGAATGCAGTGATTACGGTACCGGCCTATTTCAATGACTCGCAGCGTCAAGCCACCAAGGACGCCGGTGCCATTGCTGGACTTAATGTGCTCCGTATTATCAACGAACCGACGGCTGCTGCTATTGCCTATGGTCTGGACAAGAAGGGCGGCGAACGTAACGTGCTGATCTTTGATCTTGGCGGCGGTACCTTTGACGTGTCGCTACTAAGCATTGAAGAGGGCATTTTTGAGGTGAAAGCCACAGCTGGTGACACGCATTTGGGTGGTGAGGACTTTGACAACCGTCTGGTAGACCACTTCACCCAGGAGTTCAAGCGTAAGCACCGCAAGGACATTACGGAGAACCAGCGTGCCCTCCGTCGTCTACGTACAGCGTGTGAGCGCGCAAAGCGTACACTCTCGTCGTCGGCACAGGCGTACATTGAGATTGATTCTCTGTTCGATGGTATTGATTTCAACTCGACCATCACGCGTGCGCGTTTCGAAGACATGTGCGGTGACTACTTCCGCAAGACGATGGAGCCTGTGGAGAAGGTGTTGCGTGACGCAAAGCTGTCCAAGAGCCAGGTGCACGAGGTGGTACTTGTTGGTGGGTCGACGCGTATCCCCAAGGTGCAGCAGCTGCTGTCGGACTTCTTTAACGGCAAGGAGCCCAACAAGTCAATTAACCCTGATGAGGCTGTTGCCTACGGTGCTACCGTCCAGGCTGCCATTCTGAGTGGCAACGATTCATCGGAGAAGCTACAGGACCTGCTTTTGCTGGATGTGACGCCTTTGTCGCTTGGTCTAGAGACGGCTGGTGGTGTCATGACGACGCTGATTGCACGTAACACGACTGTACCGACCAAGAAGTCGCAAACGTTCTCGACATACGCGGACAACCAGCCGGGTGTTCTGATCCAGGTGTTTGAAGGCGAGCGGTCCATGACACGCGACAACAATTTGCTGGGCAAGTTTAACTTGGACGGTATCCCGCCCATGCCTCGTGGCGTGCCTCAGATTGACGTAACCTTCGACATCGATGCGAATGGCATTTTGAACGTGTCGGCTGTGGAGAAGTCGACGGGCAAGGAGAACAAGATCACGATCACAAATGACAAGGGTCGTTTGTCGCAGGCTGATATTGACCGTATGGTGTCGGAAGCCGAGAAGTACAAGTCGGAGGACGAGGCTAATAAGGTGCGCATTGAGGCCAAGAACGCTCTTGAGAACTACTCCTACAATTTGCGTAATACGCTCAACGACGAGAAGTTGAAGGACCAGATTTCGGAGGATGACAAGAAGGCGATTGAGGACAAGGTGACCGAGACCATTAACTGGTTGGATGCAAACCAGTCATCGGAGAAGGAGGAGTACGAAGGAAAGCAGAAGGAGCTCGAGGGTGTGGCCAACCCGATTCTGCAGAAGATGTACGCTGCTGCTGGCGGTGCTCCCGGCGCTGCTGGTGGAATGCCCGGAGGAATGCCAGGTATGCCTGGTGGTATGCCCGGCGGCATGCCTGGTGGCATGCCCGGTGCTGGCGCTCCCCCTGCTGGCGCGCCGGACCAGGGCCCCAAGATTGAGGAAGTCGATTAAGCGCGCTCCGCTAGAAGTCTCGTATCGTGCTGTCACCGGCAAAAGGCATTCTCTCACTTGCTTTTGAAGTCGGTTGATTTGAGTAGTAGGTAGAGAAGTAGTTATGGCAATTGTTTCTGAAAGAAAATTACAAAAACTGCATGAAATAAATTCGAATTGAAATGCCGTGTCTTGGCTTTCACAATATCTTTGATATCCACTGTTTCAAGAAGAAGAACGTCTTGAGTAGACAAAATTGAGATCTGTCGGAGATTGGATGTGCGAATACGGCTACGTGACGGAGATGTTGAAAAGCGCATTGAGCTCAACTTGTCGAATTCACGTTGCTGTACAACAAGGCTGTTCACAGTAAGGTATTCTCACCTTTTGCAGAAGATGTAGTCCAATATCATTATTACACGAAGTTGACTTCTGCAACTTACAGTCTAGGAGGCAACTATCTGACGTCGATACTCGAGAATCATCTTGGAGTCCGCTTTCCAGCGTGTTCGTCGGATAAACTCGAGCGAGTATTCTGGACCGACAACCGCGCCGTTGCATAGAATCTCGATCTCCTCAGGCTTCAGAATGTTCAGCTTCTTAGCCAGGTACTTGCGCAGATACATGATCTAGGCGATACCAGCACCAATCCGTTTAAACTCTCAATGCAATATCCTAGTCACTTAAGCCCTTACCTTGAAAAAAGACTGCGTGTTCATACACGGAGCTTTCAGCTCGCCAAGGTGGAGGAAGAGAGGAACATCGGAACTGCAAACATTACACCACCAACAAGCGGTGAGAGCTCAGCACTAGCACGTACTCGCCGGATCAATTCAGAAAAACTCACCCGCGCTGTGGATACAGCTCAAACTGAATCATGTGTCTAGGTGACGACGGGCCGAGTCCACGACGAAACTTTGAAGCACTCGGGCGATTTTCCGATCAACGTATCAGGTTGTTTGCGCTTGATACCAAAGTTTGCATAAAACTCTTGCTCTGTAAGGTAACAAACAAACATTAGACGCTTGACAAACTTATAGAATAACGAATGTAGTGATCAACAGCAGCCGTACCTTCCGTTTCTTCAGCTTCACGGTAGTCTGGCAAGTACTTTTCAGAGAGCTCTTTTATAGCTGGATCAGGGCTACATTATCGAAACGAGTGACAGATAGTACGGATACAAAGTATATCACTTCAAACAATAATGTTTTCCTATTCGGCGTACATGAATTGGGTCCACGGCTTGGCACCGAGATTCACACCACAAGTCGGACAAGTGCACGATGATGTATGCAGATAGAATCCTCGAATGCAGCCATGACAGACTACATCAATACAAAACGGAATATTAATCTGCTAACTGCTACATACACTTGGTTTAAAGCGTTACGTCAATGTCATACAGGTATGCAGACACTCTTTCGCAGTGTACGGGTCTCGATAATAGCCTTTACACAATTTGCAAATAAAGAATTCATTGATATCGGCCATATACAAAGTTTCCTATTACAAACAAAAAACCACAACTAGGTGTTTGTCTCCTTTAGTATTGATCAAAAAGCACGAAGATCCTGAGGATGGGCGTAGATTCTGTGTTCATCTCTCGCTTTTGTTGCTCTTGCTGTGCTAGCTAGCTGCGATCTCTCTGCACCAACCACTTTCTAGCGTCGGCTCTCAACTCTTCAAACTCCTCTTCGCTGCCTCCCTTGCGTCGCCAAGCACTACCGAAAGGACGCGTCCTTTCGCGTCGCCAGAAACTACTATACGACTAAATATACAATTTCTTACACTCCCCTCACCGGCTCTCACGCAGTTTCATCGTTGTCACTCGTACCCCGTCATCGCACAGCGCTCCTCCAGTTGCTCGTGCACGCGCTTCTCCAGTGAGGCTTCTTAAGTGAGGCAGACCTAACGCCATGCTCATCAAGCCGCGTAGCGTCGCGAGCTTTACAGAGTCCATCGCTTTCGTCGTTAGGTCCGCAAGCATAAGCTCGGAGCGAACGTGCTGCGCCCGGATGATGCCGCGTTGCGCGTAGTCTTTTACAAACTTGTGGCGTACGTCGATGTGCTTCGCCTTGCTCGTCGACGCTTATCCCTCTATTTAGCTAATGACAGCCTGGTTGTCGCCATGCAGAAGCACGGAACCACCGGCGCCCATGCCAATCTACTTTAGAAGCTGCCTCAGGCCAATGATCTCGCGCGCGCAGCCACAAAAACCCCACCTTCATGCTTTTTGGCGCATCATAACACTGCCATGCCATTATAAAAGCACAACTCCTCTGGTGAGCGACTTGCGGTCGGCCTTGTCGTCCACGAAGTCGGCGATGCTGTACGACTTCAACAGTAGCACGTCACGGCTCGCTTGCGAAGGCGCCATCGTGAGCTTGAGCGTTGCTGTGCTCTTAAGGTACCCGGCGATACGCTTCGCAAGCTTCCAGTAGAGGAAGCGCGGTGCTTGCGTCTGTCGCGTCACCTTATGAAAGGAGAGTTTTACGTTCGAACGCGTGCATCGCGCCACCCAGAACAAGATACCCACGAGTCCCTGGAATGCCACTCGTCGGGTTGCTGCTCGCGCTCGTTGTCTCAAGCAGCACAGCAACATCGATCAGCACCTCGTAGCACTCACCACCGATTGGCGTCTTCGTCGTGTTGGCATTGATAATGCTATGGTCACGCAGTTGTTATTCGATCGCTTCTTCTTGATCAGTGCGGTAGCTGCCGTCGTTGCCAAGCTCGACACGCATCTCGGGTAACTTGTACACGCGGCCCAAGTCCTTGATCTGCAGCGTCGCCAGACCCTCATATAGCTTCTCCACTGCCGCGGCGCTCGTGTTCGTCGCAAGTAGATCATCGACGTACACACCGACGACAATAAGATTCTCGTCGTCACGCCCAAAGTATAAGCACATGTCGGTAACACATCGTACGAACACAGCGTCCGTAAGCCGCGCATGGAGCAGCTGGATCCAGAGGAGCCCCTCTTGCTTCAAGCCACAGGCTCTTGCGAAGCTCGAAAAGACTTCATCGGAGCTCGCGGCGTCGAGCTCGCGTAGTGTGTCGTCGTTCACGTCCACCCGCGCGGCACTTGCAAGAAAATCTTAAGGTGGATTCCTTGTCCGCCTTTACGTACGCGTTTGAGATGTTTCCATGACCCGGCCGACACACCTTAATTTGTTTTCGAGCGCTAGCACTACCTTGACAGTGCTAATGTAAATTACCGCCGCGGACGTAAGACTGTAGTCCACACCGAGCACTTGATCGTTGCTCATGCTTTGTAGCGTTCCATCTCACCGTCGGCTCTCGTCTTGGTCATATAGATCCATTAAGAGTGCAGCGGGATCGATTCCACACTTCTCTTTGTCACGCGCCAGACGCCGATCTCCTGGAGTGCGCTGATCTTCTAGCGCATTGCGACCTTTCACTCCGCGCGCTTCGCTTCTGCATAGTTGGTCAGGCCCTTCTCGTACGCGAGGTTGACGACATGCGGGATCGCCGTCGGCTCCTCCAGCTGCGCCGCTCCTTTTGTGCACATAGCAGCTTACGTGTCGCGTGCGGCTGCCGCTGCCACTATTTTTTCTTCGCCTTTGTCCGCGCGGTTCCGCTGCTTTTTTCGGCGATCGACTGAGTCGCTTCCGCTGCTTCTTGCTCTAACGCAGGTAACGGGCCCGAGTTTGTCGTACTCACGGCGTCTCTGCGCATGACCGGGTCACTAATTTCGCGCAGCAGTCGTTCGTTTTGTTCTGCTGACAGCGTCGCGATGTTCTTGACGTGTCGCGTCGTGATGACAATATTGATCTTTGAGAGTCCACTCGGTAGCCCTTCGTCTCATCGTTGCAGACGATGATCTGCCTTTCTTCCGATCGCGGCTCCATCGAGTTCTTGCTCGGATCCCGTCGTGCGTTGCACGTTGACCCGAAAACGACGATGTTACGCAGATGTGGCACGGTCTTCGTCAGCACTTCGTACGGAGATGCGCGTCGCTCGATTGCGCTCATAGAGGGCTGCGATTCAATTTGTACAGTGCATAGTCGACAGCATCACCCAAAGACAGTCTCACGTTGCACGCGAAGATCATCGTCCTCGCCATGTTCAGCACAGTCCTGTGCATTCGTTCTGCCTTGCCATTGATGCGCTCTTAGCTGATATGGCGTGTGACACCGGTACAATAGGTCGACGTTTCGATACTCACCTCTTTCATCGGTACGAAACACCAGAATTTTGCATCCGAAGAGTCGTTACCCAGCTCGTTGAGCCTGGAGTCCCTAGCTCTTGAAGTACAACACGTAGCCTTCAATCAGTAAAATCACATAATCGAACAATGCAAATGTTTCGGCGTCGGCTATTAATTTGGTCATTGCGCAGCCGGTAAAGGCAAGATGGCTGTTGTTTTGATTATGATAGGTGCTAAGAGGAGTGCAAATCTCATACACTTTGAAATACACGCGCGTAGCAAGATGGATGCATATGTAACGGGCCAATAGTTACACGAGTTCGTTAAGTATGTGATACATAGCGGGGAGGTCCAAAAGGGTACGTGGTACCTTAGATGTAACAGGGTGAGCCCGTTACATAATATTATAATAAGTGCCAATAAAAATGTTATAATAACTAATAATATTAGATAATACAGACCTCCCTCCAATAAATTACCCTCCAATAAGTTTTAACCTCCGGTAGGTCATCAAATTTTAGTTCCATCGAGCTCGTTCTATGGTCGCTAAGTTATAAGCTATTAGTCAAAATCAGGCAGGGCAATATAACTTTGTAAAATAAGCATTTTATTGTATTTTGGACGAAAAAACTTACTTGAACCACATGTCGAGGGTATGGGTGCGTTGCAAATATCAAGTTGAAGGTTGCGGAGGACTCTATAAGCAGCTTGGTGACTTTCCTGGGATACATCGAGCAGGGGTGTAGACGGGCACTTCTACGAAGTTGCCTCGTACTACGAGCACACACCTTATGCACAAGCGAGGAAGCGGTTATACCGTCTTACCTTCGCGTGCGAGGGTGGTTGGGAGGTTGGTCGACTGCTTAAGCAGTCGTACCACCAGTTGCCTCTTGCTTAAGTGAGAGTGCAACGAACTTCTTAACACTAAAGCACCGACGTCACGCAGAAGTCTTTCAACTTCTCGTGCGTAATGCGTTTGTTTAAGTAAAGTCAAGACTGAGCTATATTTAATTAATTATAACTAAATATATATTTAACTACTGATTGGCTATATATATGTATATATATAGATCGGGTACGCGACTCTTTAGAAGCGTATCCTGTCGCATGATCTTAAATCTAGATTTAAGATCACAACTGACGTCCTTCTGAGACGTCGTGATGCCTAGCTTCAACTAGCGTCATCCCTTCTCATGTGAATCCATAAATGGATATCACATTCACGAGGGTGGATCACATTTGTGTATCGCACCCAAGTGACTGGTCAAAAGTAACCCATGGATACTTTTAGACCAAACATTATAGTATATCACCTAATGTTTGCGTGTAACTAGATACCCTGTTACACCATCCCCCGTTTTAGAACGATGTTTACATTTTATAAAACATCGCCTAAGAGACAGAGAGACTGGCGAGCCGTTATAAACGCGCCGCTTTAGTCTACTCAATTCTCATTCCACCGAAACGTGGTAAGGCTGATGGGTCGCCTGCGAAGGCACCCATGCAGTCCAGCACTAAGCGCACGCGCTGCGATTTATCGCAGCCGTCGCAAAGTGCGTCAGGCACTGGGGTGGATCTTCCATTTCACGATAATGTGGATGAAGATCCATCTCTCATTGTAGACTACAATGAGACCACACCACTGACATCACCCCAAAGTGGCGATGAGCATAGTGCATTGATGGGACATATGTCCTCATCATTTGAGGCACCCGTCCTTGAGGAGCATCTATGCTTCCTACAAGCGAAGGTAAAATCCCGTCGTCTGCGCCTACGAGCGCAGCGACTAAGACTGAGCGCGCTACTTCGAAAGGAGTAGTCGCGACTCAGTCAGATGTTACTTCTCAAGCTGATGTCTTGACAATTCATAATGGAGATTCAGACTTAGGTGAGTGTGAGCTTAAAGCTCCACCAAGTACACCTTCGGCCTCACTAGCCCGCCGTCGCGAGGGCGTGGTGGCTTGCCACCAATGCCACCTCCATCTGAGTGGATGAACTCGGATGGGTCTAGCGCAGCGCTTTTGCAGCGTGCCACTATAGACGCTCATAGATTCTATAGCGTCTTTCCTTTGTGGAAAAAGCAGGGCAAAGCACTTGGTCGTGCTTTCCCAATTCCAGTCGTGCTGCGTTCTAACGAAACAGCCGACGACTATGAAGCTGAACTTCGGCGCCGTGTTACCTTGCATGAAGATGCAACGGAACAACGGTCGCAACGAATAAGCTTCGCCATGAAGCGTGCGCATGAAATTATGGGTGGTAAGCGACCCCCAATTAATTCTCGCCACGCTTCTTCTGCTAGTCCTTCCGGACCTAGCAGAAA